CTTGTGCTCTCTGACAAAATCTTAAAAAACAAAAAAAACCCAATCACCTCTATGTAATTCCAGGATACTTTCATCACCTCGAAAAGAAACCCCGTATTTAAGACTTTATATTTAATCCTGCATTTTGGTAAGGACAGTTTAGCTATTAGCCTAGGCCACCTTTGCTGAAAACCTGTCTATAATCCATATTAATGTTAGCCATTTTTTACTTAATGCTTGTTTATAATTTTTATTAAAAAATTAGTTCTTACACACTTTGATAGGTGTTTGCACTATTTGTTATGAACATATTTCATTACTATTCAGTTTTTCTGACGGGTGATACATGCAAATGCCAAAAACTCAAAAAGTACCTAAGAGCAATGAAAAGTATCAATTGTCCAATTACTCAGACATACATTTGCCTTCCCAGAGGCAATTACTAATACTTCTTACATATCCTTCTAAGAATATGCTTCTGTGCGTACATATAGTCTAATAAAACATTTTTCACTTTGAGATCATTCTATCTGTATGCATAGAACTGCCTCATCCTTTCTAGCATGTACATTTTATTCCATTGCAGCATTCAGATTGCAGTTATTTTCTAGAGATTTATGCACAGCATTGAGAACGGCTTGAGATAACGCTATTTCTCAGTTTTGGTATCAGTTATGCTAGCTTCATAGAATGATTTGAAGACTCATCCTTTTTTTTTAAAGATTTTATTTATTTGACAGAGAGAGAGCAGGAGGGAACACAAGCAGGGGGAGTGGGAGAGGGAGAAGCAGGCTTCCTGCCAAGCAGGGATCCTGATGCGGGACTCGATCCCAGGACCCTGGGATCATGACCTGAGCTGAAGGCAGACGCCTAACGACTGAGCCACCCAGGCGCCCCAAGACTCATCCTTTTTAATGTTCTGCACAAGATTTAACCCTCTTGAAGGCCCTTGATTACCATTCATGTTTGTCTAGTCAGCTTAACTATTTGGGTTATTTTTGGTGACTTAGGAAAATATAGTCAAGCTGGTGAATTTTTTGATATAGGGTTATACATGGCCTTTAAAATTTTATGCCTCTAGATCTCTAAAGAGCAGGAGAGCTGTTCTCTCCTCCCCACTCAGACTTACTAGAAACTTAATTCATCAGTCAGCTTTAAGAATCAGCTGTTGGTTTTCACTGAACTCCATTTTGATTCATTTCTACTTTTCCTTTTTCCTTTGTTATTAATCTTCCTATCCCTATGCCAGGAAGCTATTATTGTGTAAGATGAGGTGAAGCCCTAATCAATTATATACAAATAGCTATATAAATATTAAGTGTTAATACTTATCATGTATAGAACAGAAAACTACTCAAAACTGAAGTTGGAGAATGTGATTAGTCAAAGAAGCTTTCATGAAAATGAGTTATTTTCCTAGGATTTATTTTAGCCTATGGGCTGAAACTTAAGAGCTGTTGCCTATTTGTCTAATGAAATCCTTTTATTGTTTCATTTAGAAGTAGGTGAAGCGTAATCCCTTAAGAAAAGTACTCCCAAATAAAATACTATTAACAAAATTAAAGGGCTATTCAAAAAGACAGTGATCATCTTATCTTTTTATCATAAAAAAACATTTATTTGTTAACGGTATCTTTCACTGCCATGACATCTGAACAGGCTTTCAACTCTTAAGACTGACCTTAATATAACAACATTACAGGAGATAAAATTTACATTCTTAAATAACGATAGTAAAAAGTGAAAAAATGCTACATTCCTTAATATCCATGAAAAAAAATTTAACTCAAGTTTAAATACTTTTGATTTTATTAAAGAAAGTATAAAATACTGAATTCTACATTTTTAAACACTATTATTTTAAGAATCACTTATTTCTTCATAGTGCCAGCATGTTTCCCATACTTCCATATATCTTGAGATCTGAAAAAGAAAAAAATGTAAATTGTTCCCAAGCCTTTGAATTTTAAACTGTGATAAAATTCACATAAAATTTGCCATCCTTCAAAAACTAATGATGTAATGTATGGTGATTAATAAAAAAAATTGCCATCCTAACCATTTAAATATAGTTTGGTATCCAGTATATTCATTGTTCCACAACCAACCTCCAGAAGTTTTTCATCTTACAAAACTGAAAATCTATACCCATTAAATATCTCCCCATATTCCCCCTTTCACTGGCTCCTAAAAACCACCATTCTACTTCTGTGAATTGTATATCTTTTGGAGAAATGTATATCCAAGTCCTTTGCCCATTTTTTAATCAGGTTATTTTTATTGTTTTAGGAGTTCTCTATATTATAGGTACTCGTCCCTTATCAGATATGACTTGCAAAAATATATCCTCCAAGCTAGAGTATTACACTAAGTGAAATTAAGTCAGAGAAAGACAAATATTGTATGACTTCACTCATGTGGAATTTAAGAAACAAAAACAAAGGGGGGAAAAAAAGAGAGAAACCAAGAAATAGACTCTATAGAGAACAAACTGATAGTTACCTGAGGGGAGGTGGTTGGGGGGATGGGGAAATAGGTGATGGGGATTAAGGAGGACACTTGTGTGAGCAGCACTGGGTGATGTATGGAAGTGTTAAAAAAAAAAACTCCTCCAGAATTTATTTATATGGTCCCCTACTGGACATTTAGGTTATAGTATTTTCCTACTACAAATATTGCTATAGCAGAATACGTATTTATAGAATACATCCCTAAAATAATTGCTGAAAAGGAATTATGTATTTATAATTGATACATTACCAAATTGCGCAGAGGTTCTACCAACTTAACACCTCTACCAACTCCATCACATGCTTAATGAGATTTCTGTACAACTTTTTATTTTCTCAACTCTTGAATACATCTAACTCTAAAGAAGATATTAACTGGGGGTGACTGAGTGGCTCAGTTGGTTAAGCGTCTTCCTTCAGCTCGGGTCATGATCCCAGGGTCCTGGGATCAAGCCCCGCACTGGGCTCCCTGCTCAGCGGGAAGTCTGCTTCTCCCTCTCCCTCTGCCCCTCCCCACCTGCTTGCGCTTTCTGTCCCTGACAAATGGATAAATAAAATCTTTTAAAAAAAGATATTAGGGGCACCTGGGTGGCTCAGTCAGTTAAGCGTCTGCCTTCAGCTCAGGTCACGATCCCGAGTCCGGGATCGAGCCCCATGTCGGGCTCCCTGCTCAGCGGGGAGTTTGCTTCTGCCCCTCCCCATGCTCCTCTCTCACTCTCTCAAATAAATAAAATCTTTTAAAAAAAAATAAAAAATTAAAATTAAACAAAGATATTAACTGGAACTTAGGTAACAGGTAAAGAATTACCCCCAATAAATTACGTTAATGACTCTTAGAGAATACCGATTGCAATAAACACTAACAGTGTAGTTAAGGAAAACAGGCATTTGAAAGTCCAAAATTTGAATTTTTTTTTTAAGATTTTATTTATTTATCTGAGAGAAAGAATGAGAGAGAGAACACGAGAGGAGAGAGGTTCAGAGGCAGAAGCAGACTCCCCGCTGAGCGGGGAGTCCGATGCGAGACTCGATCCCGGGACTCCAGGATCATGACCTGAGCCGAAGGCAGTCGCCCAACCAATTGAGCCACCCAGGCGCCCCGAAAGTCCAAAATTTGAAAGTGTTATTTACCTCCTCTCAGGAGGCTGGTACCACTTTTCAACAAGGGCATTAATAATAAAACTTCTGGGGTTTTCCTTGGGGTTTCCCCAATTTTTTCTCCATTTCTTTTTTCAGTTTATTCACCTCGTACCTCTTGGCCATTGCCACAAGATCCTCTGGGATACTCTGAAACATTAAATGTGTTATTAGGAATGAGATTTTTCTTTCAGAGTAACAGCTTTTCTATAATATGCTAAAATACCTCCAAATCTCAGTCACAGAACCTTCCCAATTCCATGACATCTTTCCAACAATGAAGTGTATCTCCTTGCGTGTTAAACTCTGAAATCTTCAAGCTCGAAAACCAGACTGATCTTAAATTTCCCTGATGCTACCACTCCCTGCTCGTATGTATGGCCCTTCAGTTGCTTCCCAGTGCCCTGAACATGCCTTAACTGGTGCCACGTTCTGCAGCATTCTGTCCCCAGGGCCTGAATGTGTTCCCCAGCTGGAACGTGCATCCCATTCTTGTACAATTCTCCCAACCTCCACTCCACCCGCTTCTTCCACAGTACTATTTCCACTGATGCTTACCCCCATTATATTGGGTTCCCCAATTCTGTATTACAGCTCCTTGTCTTTGCCACGCTATGGCCCTCATAACATGCTTAACATCTGTTTTCCCTGACACACAGTAAGCCCCGGTACTTGGAGTCAATGAAATTATTTGAACTTTAGAAAAGTGATACAAGGTAGAGTTCTGAGTTGTATAATCACCTGTCGCGCTCTTTCCAGAATATTAATTAACTCTCCAGCAACCCTCCAGTCATTTCTAGTGAGAAGAGTAATAGATATCCCAGTTCTCCTACAAAAGGGTGGGGTGGGGGGAACGAATTCATATGTTAATTTGATTTTTGATTTATACTCATGATTCATTAGCAAAACACTAAAAATAGCCAAACCTCAACTTTTAAGCCCAAATATGTTATGTATTAGAAGTTAGCATCACTCGAACAGCTATTTAGAATCTCAATAATCTGGAGCTGTTTAAACAGCGTGTTTGCAGGGGATTTGATAGTAGTGCTCTCAATGAGGAGAAAGGCCCTCTTACGCGGGGACAAGAGAGGAACCACTGGGAATAGCTCCGTGTGACTCTGCAGAGAGAAAGCAGGGTGGAGTAAGAAACAGCTGCAGCTAATCAGAAGGGTCTGGCTGAATCTGCAACAGGCCAATTAAGACAGGGATAAAGGAGCAAAGCGGGTGGCACAGACAATTCATGGGCAATAGGAAAAAAAAAACGTTTTCTAGCTAAGAACAGTCTGTGAAGGGAGTAATGATAGTTGGCTTCTTTCAGAGGTAGACTATGCTGACTTACCCTGCTCTTCCAGTGCGCCCTACTCTGTGCACGTATTCTTCGATGTTCCGGGGGAAATCATAATTATAGACGTGTGTGATATCAAGGACGTCAAGACCCCGAGATGCTAAGTCGGTGGCAATCAATATTCTTACTTTACCTAAAGAATAAAACCAAAAGAATATACATTCTGGCATAAACCAACCCAAGACATAGCAGAAAAGTATAATTTCCCCCCACTGTCTAGGTGAGCCATTATTACTTTTAGTATTAAAACACTTCAGAGAGTGAAAATGAGAAAGGGGCATTTCTAGCCTTTTAAACTGCTGGTGAGTTACAACACAATATACACCCTGGCTCAGCAACCCATCCCTGAATCAGCTGAACCATGTCACAAAGATCTATGCCTCTCAGGTAAATTAAAGAAAATAACCCCATTGCAAACTGCCTTGATATCCAGGTCTAAATATTTGCTCTTTGAGTTTGGATAGTTCTGGAGATCTGATTAATATTCAGAGTTCTAACAAGCATAGTTTTGGGATCTGCAAGCTGAGGACAGATCTTACAAATAGGCTCCATGAAAAGGTGTTGTCACTCAGCCATGCCCAGGCCTTGTACCCTTTAACAGCAACCAACACTACCTGTATAAATGTACCTGTTTTAAAGTTTTCTAATGCCCTCTCTCGGTCACTCTGCTCCCTATTACCGTGAAGGGATTCCACTGATACATGTCGCAGAATCAGGTCGCTTGATAGGTGGTCAGCACTGAAGCAAAAGATGAAGTCAGTGATCTGAAGTGCTTCTTCTAATATCACTATCAATCCACTAGTTTTACTTCTATTAGCAAAAGACCGAATTAACATACTACAAGACATACATACCCCTTTTGAAATTAGTATGCAAATAGAGCGAATGCTAAACAAATCAATTTGATGATTTAAGGATGTAAAAGAAAAAAATACCTACACAGCTTTTCTGCTGACAAACACTATGACTTTGTCTTTGGGAGACATGCTTTCTAGAAAAGTTTGGATATGAGAGCGTTTCTCTTCTTCGGTGGTGACAATTATGTTTTGTTTCACGGTACTTACTGCCTAAAGGAATAAAGATCACAGTACATCAAAACTGAGAGGCAAACCCTATACACTGGCTCAGAATACATCTATTTCTATCCCTGGTTAAGTTTTAACAAACTGCTAACAAGAAACAGGCAGGTCCTTGCAAAATGACCTCTACTCAAAGATTTGTAGCTCAGCCTTTCACTTCTTGCTCATTCACCGAAGCTGAGTTGGAAACGAATGCTTGGCATTGTGTTAAAAGTAATTGGTTACTGGGGCGCCTGGGTGGCTCAGTTGGTTAAGCGGCTGCCTTCGGCTCAGGTCATGATCCTGGAGTCCTGGGATCGAGTCCCGCATTGGGCTCCCTGCTTGGCGAGGAGTCTGCTTCTTCCTCTGACCCTCCCCCCTCTCATGTACTCTCTCTCATTCTCGCTCTCTCAAATAAATAAATAAATCTTTAAAAAAAAAAAAAAAGTAATTGGTTACTATTGTTGGAAAAGAAAACTGAAGTAAGGCCAAAATTTCATCATGAATTTGGGTACAGTCCTTTCAATAAAGGAAGATGATTAGCTTAGGACACAAGAGTTCCCATTTATGATTTTGACAACTTAATGCAAATTTTCATAATATCGGGCGCCTGGGTGGCTCAGTTGGTTGAGCGACTGCCTTCGGCTCGGGTTATGATCCTGGAGTCCTGGAATCGAGTCCCATATCGGGCTCCCTGCTCAGCGGGGGGTCTGCTTCTCCCTCTGACTCTCTTCCCTCCCGTGCTCTCCGTCTGTCACTCTCTCTCTCAAATAAATAAGTAAAATCCTTAAAA